AAGGGAAAAGTGATGGTGACTCAATCAGTCAGTGAAACAGTCGATCAATTAATCAATCAATCAATCAAACGGTCATACAGAGAGAGAGAGAGAGAGAGAGAGAGAGAGAGAGAGAGAGAGAGAGAATGATCGAAGGGAGTATGCGTTCGAGAGAGAGAGAGAGAGAGAGAGAGAGAGAGAGAGAGAGAGAGAGAGAGAGAGAGAGAGAGAGAGAGAATGATCGAAGGGAGTATGCGTTCGCCGCTGATCCGGGAAAATGAGTGGAACGATACAGGGAAGATTAGCATGGCCCCTGAGGAAGGATGACACGCATAGATCGAGGAAAAATAAAGAAAGAAGAGCGGCGGGAAGCGCCGATCGGGCTGCCGCAGAGAACCGCATCGACGGTCTCGATAGCACTGAATGGCTTCGACGAAATGACGAAGGGTACGTTCTGTCGTCCGAATTATCCGGCCGGAAGAACACCACCGGATAATCCCGGAAATGGGGCCTGCGCAAAATATGCGCAGTCTATGCCGGGGTGTTGGGGCTCTATATGGGTTTTGATCCCCTCGCCCCCCCTCTCCCCCCCCGGACCTCTTTGCGCTGTCGGATTATAGATTGGCCGAACTGATTTTGAAAAAAAAGGCCCGATCTGGGCCGTTGATCCACGATCAACGGCCCAGATCGGGCCGTCAATCCATGAGGATCAACCTCGCCCGACCCTGGCCCTGTTTTTCTCCATTTTGCAAATTACAGTAATCAATCGATCAATCAACGAATCAATCAATCAATCAATAGATCGACTTGATCGATCTATTGATTGATCGAATGCTTGGTGGATTGATCGATTGTTATAATTTTAAAATAATGGAGAACAAAAGGACGAGGGTCGGGGAGGGTCGCCGAGGGTCCGTGTTTTTTTTTTTTTTTTTTTCAAAGGTGGCGTGGGAGGGGGGAAGGGCGAAGGGGGAGACGGGGAAAAAGGTAACGGGCAGGGTGGGTGGGATTGTGGGCGAAGGGTAGGTAGGTTCAGTGGCGCCATGCGCGAGAAGGTGGAGTCGGAGTGGGGAAGGTGAGGGACGGGTGGGGAAAAGGCCGGCGGGCAAGGTCAGGGACGCGCGGGAGGGGAGAGCGGAGAAAAGGTGGACGGTGGATTTGGCGGAGGAAGGAGGAGCGGGGGGGAAGTACGAGACGGAGAAGAAGAAGAAGAATGTCGGGGATTTTTTATATTTTTTATTTTTTTAAGGCGGCGTTGGAGGGGGATTAGGGGTTTGGGGGAGGAACGACGAGGGGGGGGGGGGGAGATTAGGGAGACGAAGAAGAAGAAGAAGGACAAGAAGGAGAAGGTTCGGGCGAGGGTCGGGGAGCATCGCGGAGGGTCCCATTTTTTTTTTAAATTTTTGTTAATAAAGGCAGCGTGGGATGGGGGAGGGCGAAGGGGGAGACGGGGACGATGATGACGGGTACGGTGGGTGGGGCCGTGGGCGAGGGGTAGGGTGAGTGGGGCCGTGGGCGAGATGAGTGGGACCACGGCGGGCAAGCTTAGGGGGTTGGGGGGGGGGAATTGCAGAGAAACAAGGGGAGGAAAGACCAGGGGTAAACGAATAACAAGGAGGTGGGTCGGGGGATTTTTTTCCTTCTGTTTTAATCAATCAATCAATCAATTTATCTAGGCAATCAATCAAAGATTCAAAATCGATCAATCAATCAATCATCCAATCAATGACTCAATCCATTAACCAATCAATTAATCAATCGATCAACTAGTGAGTGACGCAATCAATCACTAAAAATCTTTGAATACATACTATATAAATATATAGATAAAAATAAAGAAATATGARTGATAATCTCATAATTGTTCTTCYTTTTAGGTTTATACAACAATTTGAGCTCGAAGAAGAATATTTCTGACTGTTGAAGTAGGTTGAGCACCGTTTTTTAATAATTTAATTATAGCAGTTGATTCAATCGAACAACCAATCAATCAGTTTACAGACTCGAACACTTACCCAGGGTGGCACACACAGATACATCACGCACACACACACGCGCGCGCGCACACACACACACACACACACAGACACACACACACACACACACACACACACACACTTACTACTATGAGCACCATACATACCATGATACTACAAAGCAGTACAGATTGTGATTAAGGTGGAACCACCCCATTTCGAGACCCGGGGGGACAGACAGCTTTTTGAAGCGCATTCCCCCGCCCCCTCCGCCTCCCCCTCCCCCTTTCACCCCCGAAAAAAAAGAAAACGAAACGAAAAGAAAAACCATTTTTTTTTACCAATTTTCGATTTATCCGGAATTACGGAATCCCGGATAATCGGGTGCGGTCTATTCCCATAAATTATTCTGGTCGGAAATTCCATGCTGCTTAGGCACTGACTTACTTCGGGCATTTTTCTTTAAGTAGGCGAGGCCCCTCCACAGATTAGCGTTTTTTTTTTTTTTTTTTTTTTTCTCCGCCCACGAAGCAGGGGCAGCTTTTTTTTTTTTTTTAAAAAAAAAAAAAAAAAAAAAAAAAAAAAAAAAAAAAAAAAAAAAAAGAACGTTCGCAGTGTGTACCCAAGAGCCTACGGAAAAAAAATAAATAAATAAAAAAACGAGCCTACGTAGCTCAGTGGGTACACACCCATGAACTGTTGCAATACAGACAGACCCGAGCTCGAATCCAGATGACGATGGAACTTGATTGATGAGTAAAACCATGTATATATATAGGGTTCAGCCTCCTGATGAGTCGGTGAAACTCCGACGAAACAGTTTGTCACAGCCCCTCCCTCGTTTGTTGTCCTCTTCTCTCTCTCTGCCTACGGTTTACCGGGCAGTTCTGTTTGTGACGATATGTATTTGTCACAAGATATTATATATTTCTGAATTGACTGAATTGGGCCGGTCAGCTCAATGACGATATCTCAAGGCCATCGCCCTTTTTTTTTTTTTTTTAAACAAAAGGGAAAACGTTGGGAGTACTTTTTCTCAGGTCGGAAAGAAGGTTCCAACGTCGGGCGGCGGCGGTTTCCACGTTCATCAAATGGGAGAAAAAGCCGGTGCAGGGTCTCGTTGTCAAGTATTGTTGTTTTGCTTAAAGACAGTATAAGTCGAATGCATCGGACCGGGACTCTGGCTCAGGTGCAAAACATGTGCACGATTTTCTCATGGGCCTTCACTCCACTACTATCGAAATGTGCAAAACGAGAGTGAATCTTCTGCTAGAACATGGAAAGATGCACAGCCATATTTTTTGTCTTTCGTGCATGTCGAGAGTAGTGGAGCGAGGCCCAAAGACCAAAAGGATAACCGGGATATAACAGGCTGTTACACCCAACTTTCACCATCAGCACCATCGAACTCTCATACCTGTATGTATTCAGAGACAGAGAGCGAGCGAGAGAGAGAGAGAGAGAGAGAGAGAGAGAGAGAGAGAGAGAGAGAGAGAGAGAGAGAGAATGTATACACAGAGAGAGAGAGAGAGAGAGAGAGAGAGAGAGAGAGAGAGAGAGAGAGAGAGGTAGCTTGGCGTTGAACAGAGCCGCGGTAATTCATATGCTAGATTGGCTCTTGGAGGAAGATGACTGAGGTTTGTAAGCAAGGCAGTTGGTTTGCTTTGCTGATACCAACCTAGAAAGCGAAGGGGTTAAAAAAAAAATGAAAAGCCGAAGGAAGTGGGAGAACCTAGAAAGCCACCGGGAAGGTTTAGGGTTTAGCGGCGGGTACACGACCGAAGGAAGTGCTGACTCCAGTCATGTAAAGGGGCCACGTGACATCGAAACGGATTTCACCTCCGGTCGTGTAATAAGGAGCCACATGGAGTTGAAACGGATTTATTCAATTCCATATGTCATACCATAACCCTCCACCCCAAGGCGGCCATTCCAGAAATGATGGGCTAAGCTCTCTAATAATGAGTCTCTATGGTCCAATTCCAATTAATGGATAAAGGTAGGAGGGTTCAGCATATAGGTCCAATTCCAAATTTGCCCTTAACACAGTACTGTGTAAGGGCCCCAGATTACCGTCTTCACCCGAACAGAACGCCCGGTCATTATCGCTGCATTTGGACCGGAAGTTGAGCCAAGTGCTCTGCTATAATGACCGGGCGTTACTCGGGTGAAGACGGTAGGCATCCAACCCCCTAGATGGACTACCTACCATGCTTGTGAATCGAGTAGGTGATTTTGGGAGTAGCTCTTTTGGATTCGAGGCACGATCGGGGTACCTCCTCTTCTGTGAAGGGGTCTGGGGGGTGCCACCCCCTCAGACCCCTTCACAGAAACAGAAATAGACAGAAGGGGTGCCACCCTCAGACCCCTGTCTGTTTCTGTTTTGGGACAATGTGTCACGTGCAGAACCACATATTGGTGGGACCCGTTCTGTCTGTTTCTGTTCTGGGACATTGTTCCATGTGCAGAACCACATACTGGTTTACTTCATAGAGGTAGGGAACAATGACTTGGATATAACACCTGTCTACAAGCCTTGCCTTATTTTGATAGATGAGATTAATGTTTCTATGATGGCACAGGAACATGCTTATTCTTTAGCTGTAGAAAAACTTTGTAATTGTGAAGTGTGAAGGGGTCTGACGGTGGCACCCCTTCTGTCTGTTTCTGTTTTGGCACATTGTTTCAGGACCGGTAAGAGCACACCCGAGCCGCGCGTGAAGCTCATCATTCCAATCTCTCTCGGTTGGCCATTCCCAATCTCTCTCGTCTGCCTGACCTGACCAGGGTGCGCACCCTGGTCAGGTCAGTTGTCATCTTCACAGCAGGCACAGGTGGAGAGCTATTGTCTTCTTCACAGCAGCAAACCATGGTCAGGACCTGATAAGAGTACATTGGGTCAGTTGTGATCTTCACAGTTGTCATACTCAGAAGAAGAAGAAGAAGAAGAAGAGGAATTTTTCATCCGTGATCCGATCTCAAGAATCAAGCTGGCGACCTCGCTCATCGGAGTTGCACGCTCAACCAAACGGCTAACAGCTGGGAGCGGTACCCTTTGGGAGTTGGGAGGGAGGAGGGAGGACAAACGGCCATGAGTGCAGACGAGAAACAAGTGGAAGCCATGAAGCCGATGGGGCAGCAGCAGCAGCAGCAGCAGCAGGAGGAGGGGGAGGAGAAGGAGGAGGAGGCGGAGGAGGGAGTTGGAATAGGTTGGGCTGGCACTTGGGAGGATGGTCATAATGATTGGGGGGGCAGGGTTCAACAGGCTGACGGAAGCTCATGCTTGCCACCTCACCGTAAGGCGGAGAGAGATGTGCGGGTGGGAGGAAGTGGAGGAGCGGCTGGCCATGGGTCAATCCCCCGACCTCCGACCAGGAAGATGAAAGCAGCGATGACTGATCAATCTCAAGGATGGGATGAATTCAGTGTTCGGGTAGTAAGTATAGACTACCTCCTCACTCGACCACTGGCGGGGATGGACGTGTGCTACTCGCGTTTCCAAGGTGAGTGGAAAAGGATCCACATAGTATGATGTACCTTGGTGCAAACAATGATGCACCTTGGTACAAACTTACAAACGTTGACGTAGCTTGGTACAAACGATCTTGGCGACTTTGTACCAAGGTACATCATTGTTGTCTGTGACTTCGTACCAAGGTACATCATTGTTGTCCGTGAGTTTGTACCAAGGTACATCATTGTTGTCCGTGAGTTTGGACCAAGGTACGTCATTGTTGTGAGTTTGTACCAAGGTGAAGCATTGTTCGTAACCTTTTGTACCAAGGTACATCATTGTTTATACCAAGCTTAAGTTATAAACAAAACGGTACCTCGGTACAAAATCACACTCTTCCTTTTCTTCTTGTCTTTCTTCTTCTTCTTCTTCATCTTCTTCTTCTCCTTTCTTCCAAGGGAAGTCCTGGTTATCTGCTACCGGTTAGGACCGGTACTATTACACTTGGAATTTCTTGGCGGGAGAATCAGTTATAGGCCAAATTCGAATTCGAATTTCTATGAGACATACTGCCGATACGAAACTGAACGGCGCAGAGGACTATGACGACGCGTGTGGGACTAGGCCTGTAGCTAGAAGGGAATGGTATAAACGAGAGGGCAAGACCGTCAGCCCTCTATTCTCAGTTGCTTGGTCAGAAAGTCTGTTGGGGCCACAAGGCGGATCTGGGGAGAAGACCCCTGAGGAATGCCAGGAGCACAGCCTGGCCGAAACGCGTCAGGGAAATTGCGCGTTTTATTCTGAGAACTGTACATGCGGAGAGGAAATGCAAATCTCCGAGAAGCAGTTTATGGCCACTGTTTTCACTATTCTTCTTCTCCACATTCCACACTCTTCACCTGAGTAGAACGTCTTTCTTCTTCTTTGTCTTCTTCTTCTTCTTCTTCTTCTTCTTCTTCTTCTTCTTCTTCTTCTTCTTCTTCTTCACCTGAGTAGAATGTGTCCGGTCATTATGGCTGTATCTAAATTCTGGACTGAAAGTTGCACCAAATACAGCTATAATGATCGGGCACTCGATTTGGGTGAACATGGTAGTACGTTGTTTATGGGCTGAAGTAAGTGTACTTACTCTTATGGGGAAATATATTCAAATATTATGACAAGAATTGGAAAGACTTCTCAGTAGCCAATTAATTCTGGGTTACTTCAGATGTGGTGTTTGCCATTTTTATTTATTCAAAATCCACACTTGCAGGGCATTGTTTGCAGTGGATTAAATGCTGGCACAGAAAGAACAAAGGGAAGGAAAACAGAAGAACTAAAATGAAAAAAATGATAACTGAAATGATTTAAAATTTACATAACGCAAGGAATATGAGCAATGGCGAAATGACGGAATTCCAAATCGCAAAAATCACATTGAAAGCCAGATAGTCGACAGCTGTCCAGAAAGCAGAAAAAAAAATGCACTGATGTCACACTGAAGGAGAACCGAAGCAGCAAACTCAATTGTGAATGAAAGCATACTCTCGCCACCACCAACAATGCAATCGAAGCTCTTCCTCCTATTGGCGCTCAACGCCCAGACTACGATCTTACAGCTATACTACTAGCCGACAAAATGATGAAAAAAGCAAGCAGTTGATGTCGGCAGCAATAACCAAACTACATGCAGATGTTGCTCATGCAGACCATCGCCAGGATCAGGTATGTGCTATCACATCACCCCATCACTCCCCCTCTCTTGCTCATCCTTGTCTTCTCCTCCCACGACTCTACACCAACCGAAGACCACCACTGAACCCCGCTGACCTCCTACCAAGTCCAAGCCCGACTATGGGGGCTGGGCTATGGCGCTGCCTTATTGCAGCGCCCTCTCTCGCGACTGCGCTCGCGTTCTTGCACCACCCGGCGCTAGCAAGCAGGTGCGAGCGAACGCTTCAGCAGCGCTGTTGCTTGCACTAGCAAGTGCCCGAATGCCTGCTGCCCGGCCAGGCACTTTGCTGTATGCAAAGTGGCCCAGGTTGTTGACTGCCTGGCCTGGCCTCGCGTGCGCCCAGTAGCTTCAGGTTGGGCCCAAGTGTCTGCGCCCAGGCCCATTCAGATAGTGGCCTGGGACCGAATTGGTTGGGCATGCCCAAGCACCCAGGCGCAAACGTGCGGTGTTCCCTGCTTCCCCTGAGTTGCTGGAAGAGCGTAGAAGGCTCACAAATATTTCTGATTCTCACGAGCTGGGTGGACGTTACCAACTGGCACGTGGTAACCGTCTGGCACCCACTGCGACTTTGCAGAATTGACAAATTCAGGACTCATCGAGGTTTGTGGGCCCGCCTTCACTTAGGGCGGGCACATGCTTGGTTATAGGGGGCCATATGCAGGTATGCCAAGGGTTTAAATCCTCGCACTCCCTCCTTTACTTCGATAGTCCTCTGAGAAGTCTTCAATCAGCAGGCTGCTTCCCTTTCAACCTTCTCTTATATCCTGAGATAACCTGCGGAGCAGTCATCATTAATTCCTCTCTTGTGAACCACCAGTCTTCTTTAGGATCAATATGATGTTTGAACTGCACTTTGTACTGCATCTGCGGTTTCGGAGGTCGACCCCTGCCTGGAGGCTTTGGTACAGGCATTACCTTGTGCTCGATGATGCCGTCAATGTCTACGTGTCCGTCCATGGTTGGGGGCAGCATGGATCTCCTTGAAGGAAACCTGTCTTTTTCAGCAAAAGGAGCGAGTTTGGAGGCATGGAAAACAGGGTGTGTGCGTATACGAATGGCGTACGAGGGTCCGTCTGGTTCACTTCCCACTATGTCCAGAACTTCCCAGGGTCCAAAGTACTGCAGCATGAGCTTTCTAGATATTCCGAGTTCCTGTCCCAGTTCAGATGACTTAACCCATACCCTTTCCCCTACTTGGAATGCAGATGGCCGTCTGTGTATGTTCTCGTATGTTACCATAGCCTCTTGAGCTTTCCTAATTTGTTCTACGGCCTGCTGCAACATCTTATCATACTTGACAACAAATTCAATGCTGCCAGCTGCTGCTGCAGGCTGGTTTTTGGGCAACAGAAAGTCAAGAGCAGATCTGGGCTTTCAACCAAGATGCAGCTGGTTGGGAGTCATCCGGTAGTGCTGTGTACAGCGTTGTTATACAGGCTGGCGATGAGAGGCAACTTCTCATCCCAGTCATCCTGGCTCAGCTTGATATAATGCTGGAGCAAGTGCTGCACTACCCGGTTCATCTGCTCTGCCTGGCCAGTGGACTCGGGGCGATTCCTTGATGTCATCTGCAGTTGGGTGCCCATCTGCTGGGCCGTACTTTGCCAGAGTTTGCTAGTGAATCTGACATCCCGGTCACTGACAAAATGCACTTAGGAAGACCGAAGTCACGCACCCAATGATCCATAAACAATTTTATTACATGGTCAGTCTTAGGGGTCTCAGGCATGGTAATCAGTGTAGCGTACTTACTAAATCTGTCCACAATGAGAAAGATGTGCTGTTTGCCGCTGTTGCTGGTCACCAGAGTATCCATGAAGTCCATGGAGACACTCTGGCCGGGGCCAGCAGGAATAGGCAAGTGCTTGATAAGCCCCAGTGGAGCCTGCATCCTTGGTTTGTCACGCTGACAAACCTGACATGTTCCCACATACTTCTTCGCATCATCCATCATCGTGGGCCACCAGAACTTCTGCACTAAGTTCGCTGCTGTCTTTTTGTACCCAAAATGACCAGTTGCTTCGTGACACACCTAAAACTAGACTGTGCAAAGACTCTATAGATGAGACACATAGCCGTTTATTCCCGTCCTTATCGAGGAACAACAAGCCATTGATCAGCACAAACTCATTGGATGTGGCCTTATCCTTGGCCTCAAGTTTGTGCATGATCTAAAACATGATGGGGTCCTCTCGATAGACTTCCACCATGGATCAAGTCACATTGTCCGATATCCCGAACTCAGTGACTAGCACTCCCAGATAGTCTACCCTCCTAGACAATGCATCCGCTACCTTATTGTACTCTCCCTTCACATGGTCCGATTTGAAGTTATACATATCGTGACTTCAATCCATCTCATGAGTGCGTAAGAGAGAGCAGGTTGCGTCTTGATCCAGCGAAGTGTCTCATCGTCAGATCTCACATGGAAAAATCTGCCAAGGAGATAGTGCCTCGAGTGAGTCAATGTTTTGTATAGGGCATAGAGCTCCCACTCGTAAGTGGACTTAGCTAGCTTCTGAGACGACATCTTCTTGCTCATGTACTCGATTGGCCTCAACGGCTCCCCCTCCCGCTGTGCAAGGACCACGCCAACGCCATATTGGCTAGCGTCTGTGGTCACAATAAAAGGAAGTTCAGGATCCAAAAGTTTGAGGACTTCGTATTGCGTCAGGGCATACTTGAATTTCTTGAAGGCTCCCTCATGCTCATCGGTCCACTCCCATGGGGTGTCAAGGCGTGTGAGGTCAGTCAGAGGGGAAACTATAGTACTACAGTTCTTTATAGATGGACGATAGTAGCCCATCATCCCCAAGAAAGACCTCACCTCAGTCACAGACTGAGGTCTTGGCGCACCTTGGCATCGTCCAACCTTAGTCCATCCACTGAAATTTCATGACCCAAGTATGCGACGAAACTTGCATTTCTCCAAGTTAACCTTGTACTTATGCTGACACGGTAGTCCAATCACAATGCCAACGTGCTTAGCGTGTTCCTCGACAGTCCTACTAAAGATAAGAATATTATCGAGGTACACAATGATAAACTTATCCAAGAAATCATGAAAGATCGTATTAATTGCGTGAGTTGTTCTGTGTTCAAATATACGGTCGACCGACATTCTATTCTAATCTAATTTAATTAGATTAGAGACGTTGTACAAGCGCTTTGTTGCTTGCCTCTCTGCTCTACTTGTGAAGCAGCCCGCGACCTCTTACGGGCCCATCAACAAAACGAGAACATACAATACAAAATGAAAAACGAATGGTTATTTCAGATTGCTTATATGGACGCTGCAGGGCCTTGGCAATACGGATTGCAAGATGCAGCCA